CAACGTTTATTTATTTTTGGGACAGAGAGAGACAGAGCATGAACGGGGGAGGGGCAGAGAGAGAGGGAGACACAGAATCGGAAACAGGCTCCAGGCTCCGAGCCATCAGCCCAGAGCCCGACGCGGGGCTCGAACTCACGGACCGCGAGGTCGTGACCTGGCTGAAGTCGGACGCTTAACCGACTGCGCCACCCAGGCACCCCTGTATGTCTCTTTTAAAGAAATGTATATTCAGATCTTTGACCCATTATCAAATTAGTTTATTGAGTCACAAGTGTTCATGCATACTGGAAAGAAGTCCCTTGTCGACTATATTATTTGCACATGTCTTGTTGCATCTGTGGATTGTCTTTTCACTTTTTCGGTGGTTCTATTTGAAGCAGAAAAGGTTTTAATTTTGAGTAAGCCCAATTTATATACATATTTTTTCTTTTGTTGCTTGTGATGTTAGTACCACATCTAGGAGACTGGTGCCTCTGTTAAGGTCACAAAAATTTATTCCTGTGTTCCTGTCATAGAATTTTATACTTTTAGTTCTGCATTTAGATCTATGATCCATTTTGTCAATTTTTATGCATGATGTGGCTTAGGGATCCAAATTCATTCTTTTGCGCGTGAATATCCAGTTGTGGCATCATTTGTTGAAAACATGATTCTTCATTGAATTGACTTTATATACGTTAGTAAAAAAAATTAATTCGGCATAAGTGTAGGGATTTATTTCTGGACTTTCACTTTTGTACCAGTGACCAATATGTGTATCATATGTCGGTGCCATACTGTCTTGATTACTGTGACTTTATAGTAAGTTTTGAAGTTGGGAAGTGCGAATTCACCCTTGTTCTTTATTTTTCAAGAATGTTTAGGCTATTTTATGTCCATTGCGTTTTCTTATGAATTATAGGATCAACGTCTCAATTTCTGCAAAAAAAGAAAAAAAGCAAGGTGTGATTTTGATAGGGATCATATTGAAGCTATAGATCAATTTGGGAAGTATTGCTGTGACTTTTTTCCAGTGTTTACTTTTGAGAGAGGGAGACAGAGCGTAAGCAGGGGAGGGGCAGAGAGCGAGGGAGACACAGAATCTGAAGCAGGCTCTAGGCTCCGAGCTGTCAGCACAGAGCCTGACGTGGGGCTCGAACTCACAACTTGTGAGATCATGACCTGAGCCGAAGTCAGACGCTCAACTGACTGAGCCACCCAGGCGCCCTAAGGTATTGCTGTCTTAATTTTAAGTCTTCTAAACCAGGAACATGTGATATGTTTCAATTTATTTAAGTCTTTTCTGATTTCTTTCAATAATGTTTTGTAGTTTTCAGTGTACTTTTTTTGTGTGATTAAATTTATTCTTGAATATTTTACTTCTTTTTGAAAGAAAGCTAGCTATGTATGTATGTATGTGCCTCCCTTCCCTAGCTTTATTAGGGTTTAACTGACAGATAAAAATTGTATATATTTAAGGTATACAATGTGAGGTTTCGATATATGGATACACTGTGACATGATTACCATACCACAATGAAACCATTAAGACATCTGTCAACTCACAACTTCCTTTTTTTTTTTTTTTTTTTTTTTGGTGCGGTGAGATCACTTATGATCTATTCTATTAGCACATTTTAAGTATACAGTACACTGTTATTAACTAAAGTCATCATGCTCTGCATTAGATATCCAGAACTTATTTATCTTATAACTGGAAGTTTATACCTTTTGACTAATGTCTCCCCATCTCTGATCCCTGGGAACCACTGCTCTACTCTCTGGTTCTGAGTTTGACTTTTTTAGATTCTACACATAAGTAAGATCATACAGTATTTGCTTTCTGTGTCTGGCTTATTTCATTGAGCATAATGTCTTCCAGGGTCATCGATGTTGTTGCAAATGGCAAGATTTCCTTTTTTTTAAATGGATGAATAATATGTATATGTATATATATATATGTACACACACACACATATACATACACACACATACACACACATATATTTTCTTCATACATTCATCCACTGACAGACACTTAGGTTGTGTCCAAATCTTAGCCATTGTGAATAATGCAGCAATAAACATGGGAGTGCAGATATCTCTTTGAGACCCTGATTTCATTTCCTTTGGATATATACCCAGAAGTGGATAACATGGTAGTTCTACTTTTAATTTTTTGAGGAGCCTCCACACTGTTTTCCATAGTTGCTGCACCAATTTACATTCCCACCAACAGTGCACAAGGGCTCCCTTTTCTCCACACCATGGCCAACACTTGTTATCTCTTATCTTTTTGATAACAGCCATCTTTCCAGTGTGAGGTGGTATCTCACGGTTTTGATTTGCATTTCCCTGATGATTAATGATGTTCAGTACCTTTTCATGCACCTTTTGGCCGTTTGTATGTCTTTGAAAATATGGTTATTCAGATCACCTGCCCATTTTTAGTTGGCTTGTTTATTTCTTTGCAGTTGACTTGTATCAGTTCCTTATATATTTTGTAGATTAAATTCTTATCAGATATATGGTTTGCAAATATTTTCTCCCATCGATTGGTTGTTGTTTCATTTTGTTCATTGTTTCCTGTGCAGCAGAGTTTTAATTTGATGTAGTCTCACTCGTTTATTTTTGCTTTTGTTGCCCTGTGCTTTTTTTTTGTGTCTGTGTGGTATCATATTCAAATATAATTGCCAAGCCCAGTGTTAAAGAGCTTTTTCCCTATGTTTTCTTCTAGGCGTGTTACCATCTCAGGACTTATATTGAAATCTTTAATCTATTTTGAGTTGATTATATATATGGTGTAAGGTAAGGGTTCACTTTCATTGTTTTGCTTGTGAATATCCACTTTTCCCCATATCATTTATTGAAGAGATTATTTTTCCCCAATGTGTTTTCTTGGCACACTTGTTACAGATTAATTGACTGTATATATGGGTTTATTTCGGGACTCTCTGTTCTGTTCCGTTGGTCTATGTGTCTGCTGCTGTCATTTGATTGTTTATTTTTTATTGGCTGGTCTCTATAGTGAAGTCTATGTCCTCTGCAGTGCGGGGGGGGAGGGGGTGGGGGGGAGGGGTCTGCTGTTACTCCTCAGGTCACAGCCTTGGGCCTGTGTATTCTTAAGCTGGGATGACAAGGTTTTTTTTTTTAGCCGTTCTCTCTTTTGTCTCTCCCTATCTGCTAAGTTTTCTGCCTCTTTTGGCACTATATCCTAATATTTTCCTCCACTAAGTGCTGGCTGATTGCTGTTGATTTTGACAGTTCCCTGGGGCATAAATTGCTTCACAGTCAGATTCAAATAAATTTGGGCCCTTTATAGCAGTAGTCTTTGAGTCCTGTCTTTGAAGTTTGTTTTAACCTAGGAAAGCTTTCCTTAGCTGTTGCCTTTCTTGGTTTCTGCTGTATACTTCTAGTTGGTTTATAGTTTAGCTTGTTGCTCTTATGAAGCTACTATCCTCCTCTTACTGGCTTACCACCAAAATCTCCACTGTTTTTCTGACAGCACCCTTAGGTTGAGATTTCCATGCTGGCTTCCAAGTAAAGTCAATCACCTTAGGGGGACCTTTGGGGTTCTTTTCTTATGGCCTGCCTCTCTCCCTGGGTAGGACCTCCATGCCACTGCTCGGGAGCTGTGTTGGAGACAGTCGCATGCTTTTTTCAGAGGCCTTCTCTTTATGAGTAGGGCAGTGAGTGGGGGCAGCGGTCCCTGTTTTTCTGCTTCTTGTGGCATAGAACCTCCTCTCTTGGCATGGGATTTCCCCCCCTCACCTGGGGTGAGGGCGTTCAGAGCACAGTATTCTTGACCTGCTGTGCCTTGGAGAGAGCTTGTGCCCTAAGAGTAGAGATAGGGAGGAAGGAAAGAGCTTTAGACCTATGGGCCAAACTTGCCTAGAATAGAGCTTCTGCAACATAGAGCCAGATGAAATGAGAAATGCTGGTGGTCTTCCCCTCCTGGGGGGAAAGTATAGTCATAGACTGGGCCAGGGGACAAGGGTGTCCTGTCTTCTTCACTGCACATCCTCAGAGTAGAGTTTCTGTTTTACAGGGCTGTGTGGGAGGAGAGGGAGGGAGTGGGTCAAGGCTTAAATGCCACAGAGTCTCAATATTCTTACTGAGGTTAGGAGATTTTCTTGAATAAATCTTTCTTCACTTGTTGTATGCCTTTAGGACAATTTCCTCTCTCTTTAATATTTGTTTTGTTTTGTTTTGTTTTTGATTTTCACCAGTTGTGGTTGTTTCGCTCTGAAGAATGTTTGTGGAGTTCCTCATGCTGTCCATTCTGGAAATGCCTCTTGCATCATTGCTTCCCAACCTGCAAAGCAAATCCTTTCCTTCAAGTGGAATCCTACAAGGAAGCAGGTAAAAGCAGAGATGCTCTGGTTGAACATAAAGTGAACTAATACAGGGGCTAGAAGCACTGATCGATTGACTTTTCACCTCCCCTCACCTTTATTCTCCAAGCCCTTGATACAAGTGGGAACATTGTTGAGAATCATTTGCCTTTAGGATAAAGTGATCACTCTGTGCACTGGGCTTTCACAGTCTTGCCCTTCCTGCCCTCATCCATTCACCCCTCCATCCTTCCCTTGTGCTTTGGTCAGGCTTCCATCAGAGACACAGAGCCAGAAGCATATGAAGAGATTTATTGCAAGGATTGGCGTATGTGACTGTGGGGACTGGGGAAACAAGTCTGAAATCTGTAGGTCAGGGTATCAGGAATGGCAGGTTGGAAACTTTCAGGAAGCAGCTGATGCTGCGGTCCACAGGAGGAATTTCTTCTTCAGGGAAAACTCAGTTCTGTTCTTAAAGCCTTTCAACTGACTGGATCAGGCCCACCCAGGTAATCCAAGATAATCTCTTTTACATAAAGTCAACTGATGATAGGTATTAATCATCTACAAAATATCTTTACAGCAACAGTGTTTTGTTTTTTTTTAAATTTTTAATGTGTATTTATTTTTGAAAGAGAGTAAAGGAGAGGCAGAGAGAGAGGGAGACACAGAATCAGAAGCAGCCTCCAGGCTGTCAGCACAGAGCTGACCTGGGGCTCAAACCCACGAATGGTGAGATTGTGACCTGAGCTGAAGTCAGTGCTCAACTGACTGAACTACCCAGGTGCCCCCCCTCCCGGCCCTCCCCACCCCCAGTCAGTGTTTAATTGAATAACTGGGTACTGTAGCTTAGCCATGTTGAAACATACTGCTGACCTCATGCCATGTTTCAACTACTATGCTCTTTCGTGAACACTCCCTCTCATCCCCATGAAATCTTGGCATGTCTCCTTCCCTTGTCTGGATACTCTTGTCTTCCTTCTCTGTCTCCTGGTTTCCTCCCCTAAGAAACTACCCTAGTGTTGCTTCTTTCATGGAGCCCGCCTTGGTAGTGTTACATGCACATCTTCTGAGCTCCCACAAATTTTGCCCATGTTCATATTTTGGCATGTTGCCCTTTCGTCCCATCAGCACTTGATTCTGTCTCCATCTCCCCCGACATATTCTGGAGAGCGTGAGGGCAGGGACTGTATCTTATTCATCTCTTGGTCTCCAGTGTGATGTCAGGCACAGAGAAGCTGTAAGTAGATCCTAGGTATGTTGAGTTATTAGAGAGTCTGAAACTTGCTAGCAAAGTCTGGTTTTTGCGGTGGGCAAAGCAGACTGGCAGCCTGAGCCTAAGCTCAAGAGAGCAGTTCTAACTTCCCCTCTAGCTGGTCGCGTGATCCCTTGACTCATGGAGTGAAACCTGTGGCCTGTCTACAGGAATCCCTACAGCCACTGCACTTATAAGTGCAGCAGGACACAAGTGTGTCCCTCTAGCAGGACAACGTGGCTCTGGTGCCCTGGCTGGCCGGGGAAGTGATTAGTGGCGGGTCCTTCTGAATAGTCCTTTTCCTCTGGAGGGTGTTTTATAGAGTCATACCTTTTTTTCCTCTCTTTAAAAATTTTAAATGGAAGTACAGTTGACATATGGTATTATATTAGTTTCAGGTATACTACTTAGTGATTTGATATTCAGATACATTACAAAATGCTCACCGCATCTATCCGTGTATCTGTCTATCACTATCCGTCTGTCACCTGGAACATACTTCTTTTTTGGTGACTTCTAAACATTTATAGCTCATTTCAGTTTCTCCTGGTTCATTTGCGTAGTTAATCGGAAATAAGGGCTGACTACCACCGAGCACTAAAAAGAAATGCCCCTTCACTGGGAATTTAGAAAAAGAAAGAAAAACAAATTCTGCACAACCCCACCTCCCCACCCCCTGCCCTTGGATAGATGACCTCATAGTCTGGATGACTTCCCCTCGGGGGAAGAATAAGAAGAATAAGGCTAAGTTGTAAGTGTGCATTTTTTGTAAGGATCTTGCTGAAAGGAAAATGATAAATGCTGGTTGCACTTTCTCCAGCCTGTGATCAGAGCTCAGATGCTTTTGGATGGATGCCTCCCCTTTCTCTCTTTTTGTGTCTTTCAGAACAAGACCAGACTTTTGCTGGTTGGTCCCTCTTCCATCCCTCAAGACTATTATATAAAAAATGAGGTTGGGGCACCCCATACGACCTTACCTTGGTATATGCTCTCCTAAAACCCAGGTAGGGTTTACCAGCTGTGGCTCGATTCATCTGTTCTACTTGGGAAGACAAAGCTAATGAACATTCTTCCCTTTCAAACTTCTTCACTGAGTATAGAGATACTTTTTGATCCATGAGGGACAAGATTCAAACAGACTTACTTGTTAGATTTGTGATGAGTGTGTTTTTTGAAGAGGAAGAAGAGTTCTCATACTCAGGCTGAGTATATGATATTTTTCATCCCAACATTAGATAATCACAAGAGATGATCTCTACGAGCCCTAACTGAACCAACACAAGAGAACTAATTCACTCCAGGGGGTTTGAGCATCATCATCTCTCTCCAAAGAGGCCTGCCCTAACCCCCTGTCTAAAAAGGCCACTCCCTTCAAGCCACAAGTGAACTTTTTTCATTATGTTACTGAACCAATATGGGTCTGCTCCTTGGTGAGTTACCGACGGAACCTACACCAGGTAGAGTTGTCTCACAAAGTCATTTTTATTTGCAGCAATAAGGAGATCATGGGGAATAATTTCCAAAGCCATGACTCCCCAGACAGGGTTAAGCAGGTTCCTTTTATTAGGGTTTGTGATGAACATCAGAGGGAGAGGTCCCATCATCGCATGTAATGGGCAGACGTAAAGCTGTGTATGCCCACTCAGAAGACAGGTCTACGCATACACTGTATGTTTTATTGATGAAGCTTGTGCCCCTCCTAGGGTGGGGATTTTAGCAGTATCATGAAGCTGATATAACTGTTGGACACTTTATGGTTTCATCTGCCTGGGCATCAGCTGCTTCCTGAAAGTTTCCAACCTGCCATTCCTGATACCCTGACCTACAGATTTCAGACTTGTTTCCCCAGTCCCCACAGTCACATACGCCAATCCTTGCAATAAATCTCTTCATATGCTTCTGGCTCTGTGTCTCTGATGGAAGCCTGACCAAAGCACAAGGGAAGGATGGAGGGGTGAATGGATGAGGGCAGGAAGGGCAAGACTGTGAAAGCCCAGTGCACAGAGTGATCACTTTATCCTAAAGGCAAATGATTCTCAACAATGTTCCCACTTGTATCAAGGGCTTGGAGAATAAAGGTGAGGGGAGGTGAAAAGCCAATCGATCAGTGCTTCTAGCCCCTGTATTAGTTCACTTTATGTTCAACCAACATAATGTGTTCAACCGACACCCAAAATGTGACATACAGCAACCAGTTAGTTTCTAAAAGGTAAAATTGATAGCTAGGCGGAAGCTTCTAGGAGTTTTCGGAGTTCAGGGGGTCTCACTGGAGATAGTTGCCCTTATCGCTGCCTGAGATCATATTAGGTCTTTCCTTGTTTATTGTCTGTGTCTCCCACTAGAGGCTGAGAACCATGAGCTCTTCCTAGTTCTGTTCACTTTCAGTGTGTGATTCCCATAACAACAATTTGTAGTCATGCGTAGGTGGAGAGAAAGGGAACTAGTAATGTTTTAGCCACTGTGTGCTACGAAACTTACATACTCTATCTCACTTACTCTCACGACACCCCTGGGAAGTAAATACCATTACTCAGTTTTACAGAGGAGGAAGCCCAAGTTCAAATATCTCCTGAATGGCATGGTGTGTGTGTGTGTGTGTGTGTGTGTGTGTGTGTGTGTGTGTATGTGTGCTTAAATGTCTCAAATATGTGAGGATTGTAATCAGTTTACAAGAAAGTGCCACTTACAGTGAAAATTCTTAAAGAAGGAAAAAGATCTCTTGTACCCAAAAGTGTTATTTATGTGTGTGATGTTAGCTGACCTTTATAGGGGGCTTCATGCTGCCAGGAACTGTACCTGAATCTTATTTGGACAGGTACCATTCTCACCCTCATTTTACAAATGGGGAAACTGGGGTAAAGGGGGACCAAGTAACATTCCTGAGGCTGCATATGGAGTAAGTGTTTGGCCTGGAATTTCATTCTTGGCCGTCTAACTTTAGGGTCCCAGCTTTTAACCAAAGATGTGGGGAGAAGGGAGGCGTGATCTGTAGAATGAATTTTAAAACTCTACCTTTCAGAGTTTCAGCCTTTTTGGTCCATGAGACTAGTGATAAGAGTATCAGCTAGCATTTGCATAGCACCTGGCACATTACAAAGCATTTACCTGTGTGGGACGTCATTGTGCTTTTCATGACAGCTTTGAAAGCGGGAGAGGTGAGTGTTAGTGGTCACTCTCAGCTGACAGTTGGGAAAGAGAAGCTCAGAAGCGTGAAGTGACTTGTCCAGTAAGCCTATTTCATGACGTGGCCATAATGCCTCTCGATCATCTTCTCACCTGTCTGGGACTAGAGGCTGGTGGGATTTGTACCAGATGCCAGCCCCCTGGGGCCAAGTCTTAGGGAGGGGAAGAAGGAATCCTGACGTGGGAGCAAGTGGATATGGAAGGGCACACCTTTCTCCTCCCCCAGCGTTGGGAACAGTTACTTTACATCTTCCCTCTTGGAAGGGCCCTATAGAGCTGGGCTGGTGGCAAAGTTAAGAGCTGCTCTGGAATGAGTTTAGTGGAGTGGCCGAACTTGGAGACTAATCCTTCTGGTTTTCAGCTCAATAGTATGCCCCCAAGCAGTGGTAGCAAAAGGGGCGAGTATGGTGAGTGCAGTTAGGATACGATTAGGATGCAATTAGGGTCACAGGGTATCCTCACCCAGATCTCTCTTGGAGGTGTCAGAAGTGTCTTTGAGGCGTCCTGCCGTTTGAGAAGGAGCTGACTCTATCACCAACCACTCAGCACTCATCCCTGGGATTTGCACTTATGTGCATTTGTCTCTTCCC